TGTCTCAGTGCTCACCTCTATAATAAACCATCCTGGGAATATACTGGAATTGTCCACTAAAAATTAAATAGGAAGCAAATTCAGGCATGGCATGAGTGTTCGTTTTGAACAGTGTGTGTGAAGTGTTAATATACCATATATGTACGCCTATGTGGTGTGACATGGTTGCGCAGTGGATAGTGTTGCCATGCCACAGCTCCCTGGTTCAATCAATAATCGTATATGAAATGGCACAGTGTGATAAATTAGGGGTGGGAATACCAATCATTTTTCTCGCTAAATTAGTTATCTTCAAGAGTTTGTTCTTTAACTGTTAGCCCCCGACTTGTGCCCGATGCTCCCTGGGATAGGCTCCAGGTTCCCCGTGACCCTGAAAAGAAGTAAGCGGTAGAAGATGGATGGATGGTAACTGTTAGCATATGGAAAAACAAATGGCACCATACCTAAGAACCGGCTAAACAATACTTCAATACAGAAGAAGAAGCTGATCCACTGCAGCAGTGACCAAGATAGAGCACTTAGGCTCCTGAATATAAGTGAATACATTTGCAGAATGTAGCCTAAATCCAGACCATCAATCAGGTTTTCAGGAGGAAGTGGGCGGGGCGTTTTGGTTTGGGGGCGTTTCTCTTAGCATGTGAATAGATTCTGTATGTCTTTTTGAGAGTAAATTCAGTGTATTTGTCTTCTAACGTTATCCTCTCTGTGCAACTTACAACTCCATGAGATTTATTGTTTAATACAGAAAGCATTTGGTTTGAAAAGAAGTTGTGGTGACTTTAAGAGCCGGTGTGGACGTGTAGCAGCGCTGATGTGTTCATAAGGTATCCAGCGGGGAAACGCGTCCCGTCTTAAACCCCGACTCCTGTGAGAACCGAGCACTCCCACCGCCGCAGAGAGAACGACGGCCACCGGACACACCAGCAAATGAACAGTGACACATCTGTGAAGAGCTTCATGTGTCCAGGAGTGTCAATTCAGCACTGTAGCGCGCGCGCGAGTGTGAGTGAGTGAGTGTGCATGCGCGCGCGCGCGTGTGTGTGTGTGTGTGTGTCATCCCTGTTACTGACTCCAGTCCTGGATCCAAGTCGCCTCCATGGTGAAACAAAGACTGTAGACACAGGTAGGGCTACAATCCTGATTTTATACCTGTTTAAAAATACTAAGAGGAATAAGAGCAAGAGTAGTAGCCTAGTGTTTCATTGCTATAGAATACACCCACTGCTATTTTGTTCTTAATTCAGTTTCATTAAACGAGCATGACTGTTAAATGGCAAATAATTTTCTCCAAATAAAATAAAAGTGAAAAGTTTTTATCTGTTCTCCTCATATAGTCTACACTGTTGTCCATTATAAAGAGGCAGCAGCTGTGTTGAGCTGTGTCTTCACTTCAGCACTGTTCGTGTTAGACAATTTCAAGAAAAACACTATTTCCCCCAGTTGCTTTGTGAGCTATGATGTGTTTGGGTGGCGTTGAAGTGATGAATAGTGCTTTTAAAAAGCAATGGATCTGTATAAATGAATACAATCATACAAGGTCTTTGACTAAAGCAACACACACTAAGTAAGGAAAGTACATGTCTCTTGTGACTTTGTTTACAGTATCGCCTTTGCAGTTATTTTCACCTGCACAGTGGAGTAATATCTCAAAAACGCTCCTGTTTCTGCTATGCTCGCTGTTTGGACTGTGCTGAACAAGTATCTCTCCTCTGTTTGCTACTGTAAAATGTTTTTCTCTCTCTGTATTTTATTCTCTGTAGTGCAAACAGATGCTTAGATCTGAGGTTTCTGAAGTCTGGTCTGTGGTTTTGAGTATGCACGATATACCACCACAGATTGATCATTTTTGTGGTTATAGTATTTAAATATTATTATTTTTTTGCAATGCTGATATCTCACAAGGCTGAGACAGGGACACAAGACTTCTAACCAATCACGAGTAAAGTTATGTCAAATATATTTTTATTAAGTATGTGCTGTGAGGAGTCAGATATGTTCCAGAAGGTTTCTATAGCAGTTTTCACAAATCACCGCATTCACATAAATCGTTTATTAATTAATGCAGGGTTCTAATGTTAAAAACATACTTGTGACTGTCTTATGACCTTTCTTTTTTCTCGATCCCTCACAGTAATAAGAAACGAACTTCCAGCTCCACCTGACTTTAAATCCAAGCCTAATATTTATTCAGTCTGATTCATTGGACCTGTTCTTTATGGTCCACTGTTCTTGTTCTTGTTCTTTTGGTGAACATGGAAGACAGGGAGCTTTGTGAGAAACATGGCTGATCACTCTCGGGCTGAATACCTGGCTGAAATTTCTCAGTGATGGAAGAATATTGTTGCAGGAATGCTAGTTGAATTATTGAAAGCCAGGTTTTTAATGCTTGAAAGCTCATATGGTTGCTACTCCAGAAGCAGTGTCTTCCTCAGAATAGCTGGAACTACACTTATGCTCTTACTTAATTAGGTACCATCCAAAAACCTGCTCTTATAAAAAGTGGAATATACACTACAGTCCTTCCAACATCTAAACAGAATGTAATGTGATACACTGTAGTTTTATTATGTTGCATTGTATATTGGTGGCAGTGTGCTAATAATATTTCATTATTAGAATTCATATTACAGTTCTGTAGTGTTGGGATATGATATGATATGATCTATCTTATGATATTGTTATTGTGTGTGTTGCTCTCTCTCCTGTTTTTGTATGTGTGTATGTGTGTGTGTGTGTTTGTATGTTGTCTGTAGTTTATTAGTTCTTCGTTCTCTCTTTCCTACCATCCAATATGATGGATTGGATAGATTGTAATTGCCTCTAGGTGGATTCACCACAACTCTGTCCAGTTTAAAGCAGATGCTGAAAGTGAATGAATGAATATGTGAACCTCATGATACACATTTGTAATAATTTGCTTATGTAGTTATCATAATTTGATAACTCCACTGTCACTCATTGTATAGTACCTACATTACATTTGACTTTTTGCATCCATCATTTCTTTTTTTTCTTCAAGAATGTAATGTTTCGTAAATGGTAACCCGAAAAATCTCTGAGTTTGTACGCTTTTCATTCTACGACTCCTGTTAGCAAAACCTCCAAATTTTGTCATGCATATCGTGTATTGTGAAAGCTATCACCCTCACAGTGGAGCAGAATTGATTGAAATGGAACTAAACGTGAAAATTAATGAACGAATTAATGAAGAAAATATGTTTCTCCAAGTGGCTGTGGTGTCAGTGATAATTATGCAAGCTGAATCAACATGGTCCTCGAGGAACCGTTAGCAATGAGTAATCCACTGATTCCTGTCCCTGATGCTGGAACACTCCTGCCTGTTATTTAACCTTCTATAATACACCCGATCCATTGAATCAGCTAACCAGGCCCTTTCCTGAGTCAGTGTGAATATGTGTATGTGCGTATGTTCGAGCAGGGAAAACAGTCAAATGTGCAGGATCAGGGTAAAGAACCACTGGAGTAATCCTGATGCTTTTTAGCCCCTTCACCAAATGCAGAGCAAGATGTGTATACGTGAATTATGTAATATGTGAAACGGTGCCAACATAGAGCAAGTCCATCAGGCTGCATTAAAAAAAAAACATGACTATTACATTGGAGTTGCCTTTCCACGTTAAGCTTTTATGGCTTTTTATGAACGTGGCAAATCCAGTAAATCATGAGAAACCACTGCATATTGATGAAAATTGAGCAAGCATAACATCTCTGCACATCATTAAGTACAACCATTCATTTCTCTTCCCTCCATAACCACCGTGAATAAACAGAATGACACAGGAAATGCTGAATAAGGAGGCGGGCAGTGGTTTGAGGTTGTCAGATATGCAAGACTGGATGCAGCTTTGTCCTTGGGCTGGGAAGCTCACGCAGAACAGCCATAAATCCTGCGGTCCAGGCCTTGCCGGAGTATTATTGCCCCTCAAGATATACACAGATGGATCCTTCGAGATGGAGGACGAGCTGCAACTTTTTTTGATCTGTTACTCCACTGAGTCGAGATTGAGAGCACTTTCAGCAAAATTATTAATGAGTGGTTTTATTTGCAGAATAAAAATATGCTGTGCCTCAATATACCGCAGAATAGATATCGTAGCTACAGTGCATCATAAAATCTTATGCGATCTTAATACCTTAATGGTATCCTTCCCTGGTTATTGTATATTTTCAAAAATTAATTTAGAAGAAAGTAGAATGCAGTTTTACAGTAATTCAGTTTTATACACAACTTAAGCTCATGGATTGCAGAAAACCAGTCCTTCATTTAGTCATATTAAAGCACCAAGTTCCATTAACACACTATAACAACAAACGGGAACAGAAAAACTAACTACATTGCATTTTAAGCCAGAAATATAATTGTAATCTCACAGTTGCAGTGCAGCTCATTTCATCTGTAACCTTCATAACAGGGTTTTATGCCAGTTGAGGATTTTGGAGAAAGCCACACAAATAAATTAAATTGACCATTTTTATTGGCACTGAGCCTAACATTGTGATTAAAGTTTGCTCTGGGGGAAGCCCTCTGAAATTCAGGCTTCTAGAAATAAGTCTTTGCAACATACTTGTGACTTAGGATAGGCTTTACTTTTTAGCGCTGAAGTATTCTTTTGTTGTTCCATCATTTGGATTTGATTTCATTTCTTTACCATGCACCTAATAAGCTCACAAATCCAGAAAGAGAAAAAGACTTCAAACTAAATCATAACTAAGCGTCCATCCATTTTCTGTGCCACCTATCCTACACAGAGTCACAGTGAGCTGGAAGCCTATCCCAGGGACCTCGGGGCGCAGGGTGGCGGACACCCTTTGTGGGGTGCCAACCCATTGCAGGGCACTATCGCACACCTATTCACACACTACAGACAATTTGGAAATGCAAATCAGTCTACAATGCCTTTGGGCTTGGGGAGGAAACTGGAGTACCTGGAGGAGGCCCAGAGGCACAGGGAGAACATGCAGACTCTGTCATGCACACAGGGCAGGGGTGGGAGTCGAACCCCCAACCCTGGAGGTGCAAGGCAACTGTGCTAGCCACTATGCCACTAAGCCACCATGCTGCAAAAATGATAAATAAAATAGAGAGAAAGAAAAACTCAAAAAGAAATCCATGAGCAGTCAGTTGTGTTAAAGAAATGGTTTGGTGCTGAAAAAACTAATTAGTATTTCAAATATTAATTGAAGAAATGAGATGTAATTAAGCATGTATTTTAGATAGGGCACTTCAAAAACAGACAGAAAGGAAAAGACACACAAACCCTTTGATCTGTTCAATTTGTGCTCTAGGAAGAAGTGTTCACATGGCAGAGAGTAATTTCAGAAAACTTCACAGTCTCACACTGAGTTCACACAATACAGGTGGTTGGAAAAATTAAAACAGTATCTAGAATCACATGATTAAGACATGCCACAGAGAACAATTAAGCTTGAAGAAATGTACATGATTTTCTGATCCATACAGTTGATCAGCCAAGTTCTGTTTGGTATGTAATGTTTATTTCTTTTTCCCCCTCTTTTTTACATTTACATTTATTCATTCAGCAGATGCTTTTATCCAAAGCAACTTACAAATGAGGAAATGCAAGCAAAGCGATATATCAAGCAGAGAACAATACAATAGTCCTACCATGCAATATCTTTAATTGAGTTCTAGAAAAGCAAAGTGCACAGAGTAGAGGTGTAAGAGAAAGAGTCAGTTTTTTTGTTTTTGTTTTGTTTTTAATGACAGATTCTGCAGTTTTTTAACATGAGCTTGAGGCTGTACTAGTAGCTAACAAGTGATCATAGTCCAAATCACCCAAAATCTTACATATGTCAAACAATGTTCAGCTTTGACCAAACAATTTAATAAAAAAATCAATGTTAGAACTATTTGAATGTTGATTGTGTATATTGTAATGAATTATTTTAAGCAGTTGTCTTGTATTCAAATGAAAGGTGCACATGGGAATATACAGTATGGCTGCACAATAAAAAGGGAAACGTTTAAAATGTGCACATCCATCCATCCATCTTCTACCGCTTACTCCTTTTCAGGGTCGCGGGGAACCTGGAGCCTATCCCAGGAATCATCAGGCACAAGGCGGGGTACACCCTGGACAGGGTGCCAGTCAAAATGTGCACATTTACAGACTAAATGGGTACATGTTTCAATCTAATGAACAAACGTGTCTCAAAAGTTTAATTTCTGCACATCTTCTTTATCAAGTTGCAAGTTAAAACATCCTAATACAAAGCATCAGGAGAGCAGATGGACAGATGGCGAGATTTATCCACTTTAGCACACTTAATGGTACTTTTACCTAGCCAACTACCAGGCAGAGAGGACACTGAAATTGAAACACATTATCAGGAACCTACATGTTTAAAGGCATGGGCTGGAGGTGATCCATTTCCACCAATGGGTGAAGGCAGAGAAGAGCTACAATCCAGGCTGACGTGAGGAACATGGAGGAAGGAGGAGAATGGGCAAGAGCTACAGAACTTTGACTTTAAAGCACCTGGACAAAGCAGGACCTGCCCAAGAGTAAAATTACCTGGACTGACCAGTGGAAATTCAGAATACCAACTGTTCATGCAAAGAGGGCTTTCAGGAAACAGCAGAAAGGAAATGCTCAAAATATCACGACTGGTTTGAGGGCTGCAGAGAAAAAGGCTGATAACCCTGGCTAGTCAAAGTGGAGGTGGGCTGCATAGGGTTCCCTCATAGGTCTGGAACCTATAAGAAATACTGCAGCACATGGTTTGGGAAAGGAAGCGGATCTTGTTGGAAACTAGAAGCCATGGGGAGACTTGGCCACCACTGCTGACCTGCCTGCTTGAGACTGTTGTGTTTATGAGTCAAAACAATCTGCGGTACACCTTCAAAACTCTGGGACTTCAAAAGTTACTTACTTAAATTGGGTTACTTTATTTCAATATGGGTGCATCCATAATGTTATAGCATTCAGCAACACAGTTTTGCTCTTTTAAAAAATAAGTAGATGACAGTAAGTCCCTCTGTGTTCTAAATCACACCAGCAAGTCTGGATGTGGTTTGAGGAAGATGGTATGGTAGTTATGGAAACATATTTGGGTGAGAGACTCATAACTCCATTGCAAAACTGGAGTACTACAAGTGATGTAGTACATTTGGGACATTGGGAAAATGGTTCCCGACTTTGTAGTCAAGAAGCAGATGGGGTCACAGGAGATCTTTACCAACTGCTTTAATGGAGTTGCAAGAATTTTGGAACCTTAAAATGGGGTTACTGGCTAAAAAAATGTTGAGAATGACTGCACTAATGAGAGGGAGTAGTATGCATCTTCTGTCTTGCACTGGAGATTAATATTTCATCCCTATTCCTGCACGAAGAGCTTCTTTGTGTAGTGCTCATCAGTATGTTTAAGTGTGCTGTTCTCTCCAGAATAAGAATAGCTCACTCTTTTGATTTTCCTGGCAAATACTTAAAATATGCAGGAACGGATTTGAAGCTTTCCACTCAAAGAAAAAAATGTAGATATGGACAGAAATGTTGGATCCTATTTTACATGGGTTTAGAAAGATCAAACTTATTTAAAAATACAGATGAACACAGACTGTACAGAAGATCCTTAAATGTTCATGGTGGAAAATACATTCAGCAGGGATAATATAAATAAATAAACATAAAAGTCCAGCACCACTAAGAATAAAAATAAATCCACATAATGGCTACTTCAGTGTGGCAGGGTGCATCTGAATGTGCCATAGTGTTTTCTAATTATCTTTAAATAGTCCTCATTGTTGTTCTCACATTGTACATGTACATCTCACATGTAGGATTATTGTTTGCTACTGCTTGTGACTACAGCCTGTAATTATGGAAGCTATTATTATTTATCTGCTAAACATTGCTAACATGGAGAACAAGCTTGCTTAAAGAGCTCCTTAGCAAGAGAAAGGTACTCATTAGAGCCAGACAGGAGGAAATGGCCTGTGTTACAAGAGAGGATGATGTGGCAGATAAGGAAAAATAACAGGACAGGCAGGGGATTGGTGGAGAGAAGGATGACATGATGAGGATGAACAGAAAGTGAGTGATTAGATGGCTGTTTGCCCAGAAGGGACAGAGCAAAGTGGAGGCAGGATTTGGCAGAGCTGAAGAGACATCCTACTTCTGGCAGCTGAAATGATACATAATCACCAGGTAAAATAAAAGTAAGAGCTGAAACTGAAGGAAAACTTCACTGTCGAGTTATACACTTGTTAAGGAGATGCAATTAAATTTACTGAGCAGATTCTTTTGGTTTCATTTTTTGAAATGAATGAACCGAACATCAGATTTACTTTTGCCCGGGTGGATAAAAAACCTCCGAACTGCACAACATAGATTTCTAGCATATGTAAACTTGTGTCTAGACCTGTGTCTAAACTTGCTCAATAGCCTATGCCCAACTTACTTGTATATACAGTTTGTGGTTACTTATTTTTACTTTGGGATTTGCTTTGTATCTATATATATAAATAAATAAATAAACAAAATGGTTTTTTGTTTTTGTTTTTTTTTAGATTTGAGATAGGCTACTATAGCTTATTAGCCTAGTTTAAGACCTTCGTTTCCATTCATTAACAGACCATTAGCCTGATCCCCACTGTCCAAATGTGATGGGACGAGTTGCACAGCCATATTCTTTCCTTCCCCAAATCTCGTCTCTTGGACTATGATTAATCGTCTCTCAGTGCCAGGATTGGCTAGCAATTCTTCAAAAGCACCCTGACAATTGAACAATTGAGAAGTCAAATTTAGAAAAATGGTGGCGTGTCTACTCCTGTTAAATAAATAAATAAATACATACATACATACATACATACATACATAAATAAATAAATAATCTCACTTTGGGAACATGAATTTTGAACTTGAAGCCTACACTTGAACTTAATGCACTGTATTTTAATATTTTCTGGATCAGAAAGTTTACAAAGTTAGATTTATTTAAAAAAAAAAAAACATTTTCTGTACACACACACACACACAAGAATGTTTCCTAAGATATAACTGAAATGAACTGTGACATTTGGTCTGGATTTTATTTTCATTCGAGGTGTATAGAGAATTTATTGTATGATTTATTATTTGTGCGATTGAAGCCCATGATTAATGTAGCATCTAAATATTTAGACAGATATCCAGTTTTGCTCTAACCAGAGAGTGACCTTAGCTGCTTTTACATCAGTAAGAAAAGTATCGATTTCCTAAAAGGTATTATGCCTTCAACTGTCAAAGGTTTATTGTGACATCTGAGATCATATTATTAGACTGCATTGAGACAATTAACAATGATTAAACTTTCACATTGAAATGTAATGTAACTTGATCATTCATGATGTGGTTTAATTGGTCATTTGTTGGTAAGTAATATGGTTTTGGGGAACCTCAGGGAGGAGGACAGTGAGTCATAGGTAACTTTCACTTGTGAGTCGTTGGCATTTGATTGAGGTAAAGTAGAACAGCAAGCTGCAGAACACGTTCTCACAGGCAAAATGAAGTACTGCATTAAGCTTAGGTCTATCTATTTTTAACTATACATCCTAAAATTGTTTTCCAGGATCGTGTTTGAAATAAAATTGGCCATTTTGGCACCTTTTGTATTTAAAATAGTTGAAGAATCCTTGTTTACAAAAAAGGTTTTGCATAAAGATATGGCAATGTGCACTCTCACTATTAGTCACAATTTCTTTAAAATTTTTAAGTTAAATTCTTTTGTGGGAATTTTTAATGTGCAGATTGAGCAGATTGGTGTGAAATCAAAGTGTGAAACTTGTCACTGCAGTGATTTTACTGAATTTATTTAGGAAATGAGCTGAATAGCTCATCTAAATGTGAGATAGTATCGAATGTAAACATGTAAGAGTCAATCATGTTCCATTATGCAAATACAGACCATGAAACAATAGTTTGCCAGTTAAGCATGCAGTGGGGTATGTATGGCTGAAGATGTTTCTAATTTGTACATTTGTAGAATCTGAATTTCTTGGTTAAGTTAAATGTGTGGGTATATCTGGTCTTTTTTCATTGAACTGCCAATTCAAACAGTT